GGTATGAAGGATTTTAAAGGAAGTAGAATTCTATTTTCTGTAATAAATCAAATATAATATTAATGGATGAAAACCCATGCAATTCTGTCTTTGGGATCTGATGTTAATGTATATCACACAGTATGGAAATTGGCCTCCAGTGAAGACCAGCCTGTTCTGTCGGTATTCTGTGAGGTTCGTGGGCAGATGTCCACTTTTTGAGTTTAGTGAAGAATTGGATGATTCACATAACGTATCAGGCAGTGTTTCACCAGCTATAAACCTGGCTCTTTGTGGAACAAATCATAAAATCATAGGTCTAAGTAGAATGAGCCATTAGAGATCACTGAATCCAAATCTTTCATTTAACACCAAATTCAACTCAACAAGCATGTAGTGAGCAATCATTACACAACAGAGTCTACACAACAGATTGCTGTTAACATTAATGCTTTGCCTTACAGCTCATTATTTTAAAGGAAAAGTTGATTGCTAATAAATATGTATGACATGTGACTATGATCATTTGGACCTTCAATTATGAGAATTTTTATTATAATACTTTAACTTTCTAGCAATTCTGTCTCAGAGGTTCTGGGTTCCATGGCTTTTTGCCATTTATTCTGGCTGAAGAAATTCCTAACCATCTTCCCAATCCCCATGTAAATTACAGAAAACTTTGCAAACAGAGCTATATTGCAGATGCAAAGTTAAGCAAGTTTTTGGAACAAAATCTTTAACGTTTAAAGTACAATCAATCCTGCTGTTTTATGGGAGCAGCGGCTTTGAAATTCTTGGGGATGAGAGGTTCAAGGGCAGTCAGATCTGCCACGAGGATGCCGGGCAAAGTACAGAACATGCTGCCATTTGTGGAAGACTAAGGTGACACTTCAACAATAAAACTGAAAAACAGAGTTAGATTGAAGGGGAAAAAGCTTTACTCTTGAAAGCTGAAAAGAGCTGTGAAAGTTAAAATAAAACATTGAGTAGGCGAGGAAGCCAGGAAATCCCTAACTCCCCCGGAGAATGCCACCTGCTCCTGCAGGTGCCTGGGATTCACAGGCAGTGAGGGTCCAGATCCCCAGGCACAGGGAATAAAGCAGGAGCCTGTGTGGAGGGAGACAGGATGGGAGGGAGAAGGTCCTCAAGTTTGATAGCTGGTCTGAGAGCAGTCGTTACTTCCTATCTGAGGTTCACTCGTATGTCAACAATAAAACAAAGACTGTGGCGGCATAAAACAAATCCTTGAAGATGATCAGAAGCTACCAATAGAGATTTTTAGAATTAAAACCTGGTTTAGCTTGTATCCGAAGAAGTCAGATTAATGGTGGGTGCTTTAACAAATTTTGAGGACCGTGCAGATGCTCTGGACCTACGGGAAATATCTGAAAGTCTTTGACCTTCCTGCCCTTATAGTCACTGGCTGTTTTCTTGTTGTTCTATTTTCCTCACCCAGCCTTTCATCCCTCTGCTTCCTCCCTAATGTTATGCAGTATCATTTCTCTGTCCCTTTGCTATTTCTGTGCTCTTCCACAAACTCCAGGGGAAAACGGGGCCTAGAAGGTCTTTGCCTCTATTTCCTGGGCATTTAATGCCGTATCACGAACGGTCTCAAGGACTTCTATAAATTTGTGCATCACCTCCACACACTGCCAACTCCAGGGAAAGGTGGGAAGAAGATATAAAACATGTCCTCCTCCCTGCCACGTGCGTGGGGATCTCTAAGCTTCTGTGCCTCTGCCTCAGCCTTGTACCCCAGGTCTTGCCTCGTCTCAACAGAAGGCCCTCTCAGTCACCCAGCTGCAGTCGATTGTGTAGACACTGGAATAAACTGATGGGATCGTCTCATTGCTGTGATTAGCTTGGGATGAAAGGCTTTGCCTCGCAATGGAAAAGTATTAAAGTGGGAGAACGTTGTCTAGTTGAGGATGGCCCCTGCTCCTCCTCAAATCATCCACAGATGTGTCTGCCACACTTTGCCATCCAACCTCAGTTGAACAAGTTCAAGTCAAGAAAAGAAGGGTTATGAAAGTATGAATGACTTAAGTAAACCATTCATAACAAAAGAAATTCCTGAGAGTCGGTGAAGACACGGCAACCAGTTTAAATGATGAAATAGTGGCATATGGAACGGGATTTTTTCCCGAAAGTTTCATTGTTTTGGGACAGTGGAACACCTAAATCAAATACCCCAATGAAGATCACAGAGGAAGCAAATGTAAAATAGAGAAAGGTTTAAATAACTCTAGTCTAACATGATGAAAAATAGCGTCGACAGTGGCATTGCCTGACCTAAGCTTTGATCCCGAGCTTAATCTGACAAATTAACACATGAACGTAACTTTTGCTTTCACAGTCATAAAAATTAGATTATACATCTTCCAATAACTCCAAGCCCCATGCTGTCAAAAATATGCTATGGATCTCACTTTAAATGAAACCGTACCTTTTTCTATAAAATCCTTTATGATATTTCATTGGTAGAGTTAGGAGATCAGTTAGAAACACAAGGTATTGACATCAGATTCTGTCTCAGAATAGACAGCAAATCAAAAAATGAAACTGCAATCTCTCTTCTGGGGGTACTAGCTTCTCAATTCCAGCATAAAAGTTATGCCAAAGAGAGAGAAAGGGAATCATTTTACAGGGATAAAATGAAGATGAAAATGCTTGGCTTTTGATTTATAAAGCAGAGCTTAGAAATGATAAGATCTACTTAGCATGAAAATCCTTTAGACTGCCACAGCATACTATGTCAGAGTCTTTTATAAACAAATAGTGAAAAAAGCATAAGTGAAGAAATTAGAAGATCTGAGTCTCTATCTAATCATGCCATAGGCTCACGTTTCTCACTTTATCTTTACAATGAGAGAACCAGAAGAAGCAAATTTCACCACACTGATCAGAAGGGTAATGCTTCATTCAGTGCTGGTTTGGAACTGGATATTTACAACGAGCTTCTTACAAAGTAATATGAAGACCATCAACAGAAAAGAAGTTCAGGGGGATAAATTAGACCTAACTAATTTTTTTAAAAGATTTCATTTGAGATATTAGTTTCCCTTTCAAGACAATGCAAACTGAATGTACGTAACCATTTCTTTCAGTTTCCTTTCTTAATGCTTTGGTAATCCACTATGACAAATTCCCCGACATTATATGGTTCTATAGAATGATTCCATTTTCCAAACTAAGGGAACTCTAAGCCAGGACTAATCTTACATTTTCATCATTTCGACAGGCAAGAACAAGCTGAAAGAGTTCAAAGTCACACTGCAGCATTATTTTTCCAATTAAGGGATTTGGGGAAATAGACCAGAGTGGTAAGCAGCCATCAGGAATAACAGAGTTATTTCAGAATCAGAAAGTAGATTCAGTGGAGCAGCTCATAAAACTGAAGTAACAGAGCAGCTGGTACACTTCAGGATGGCCTGTCATGTCCTTGTCATTTTTGTCACACTCAAATTTTGTCAACAGTATCATCTTTGACCATGTGTGTATGTATCTTTGGGGGTGTACAAGTCATGTTTGTGTATGGATGAGCTCCTGCACACACAAGTCAACACTCCTAAATGTTGTTCATTTGGAATGTTGACAGGAATGAAAGAAGAAATAAATACAGCTGATTTATTTGGGAGCAGGGATCATGTTTTAAACTTTGTATCCCATGCCCTGTACCCATGATGCAGTAGGCATAAAATATTTATATTTAAGTACATTATTGAATAGATGAATGGACAGCATGGGAATGAAGCAATGAAATGAGAAGGTCAATAAACAAGCCAACTACAATCCAACTACAGTCCAATGGGAGATTTCCCTTGGATCTAAATAAGATCAACACTCAGCATGACAAGAGTGGGAGCTAAAAATAAAGCTGCATTTCATCTGAGCCTCATTACACAGCAGCCTGGCATAAGTCACCAGAGAATATCTACGTAGTTGGGGACTTTCGTCTCCTATCACTAAGGCATTAACATACTCAGTAATCACCTGCATGGCTCCCTTCCCGTGGTGCACCTTACACTGGCAACTAGGAAAATTGTGAAAACTAATAATCCACTAAGTATAATGTACAGAATTCTACAGGTTTAGTAACAGTGAAGACGTCCTCCAGAGATGGATGCCTGCCAAAGATCATAATGATGTTCAGTGAAGCTGAGTTTTATAAGAATTCAGAGCATCCAAAGGACAGTTCCTCCTTACCAAAATAAGGTAAAATTGAAGAACTTTATTTGCATCACTTGGAGATTGAATTATATGAGTAGTTAGGCGGTCTGTGTTTTCACATGACACTTAGGCGCAGTGTGAATGCTGTCAAGTTACTTAATTTCTTTGAACCTGGATGCCCATCTCACCCCTCTTGACCTGAAAGCCAGGTACCCTTAGAGCAGAACTGGCCATGCGTAGTGATCCAAAAGCATCCTGTGATGACACATGAGCCTCACATCACCACCTCTGGGAAGAGCCTCCCACCCTAATTAAAATGCCAGACAAGCCGATGCCCCAACATTCTCAACCCCCCTCCCTGCCGGCTTCAGTCTACAGCACGATGGCCGTGAAAATATGTAGCACTTACGGAGTACACATTTTGTTTGTTGGTTCATTGGTTGCCTCTCCACCCCCACCAGGATATAAACTCCATGAGGACAGGGATTTTAGCTGTTGTGTTACTGCTAGGTCCCCGGTGTAAGCCAACATACGACGGAATATGCCAGGCTCCCATAAAAGCCTACACTCTCCCACAGTATTGAAATTTTATGTCTATCTGGCAGTTTTCTTGGCTAAACAGTAAATTTCTTGAGGGCAGAGCCTAAGCCATTTTATATTTTATGCTCTAATATTAAAAACATTGCCTCTAGCATAATTAGCTCTCAATAAATGTTATCTTACACTGAAGTTTAAACAAAGATTCATTCAGTAAAGAAAGAACCGTTAAATTTCTTCAGATCCAGAGACCTTGTTAGCATTCCAATTCTCTCTCTTAGTGGTGGAGTCTTCAGCAGGTTATGAAATTTCCCTGAAACTCAGTTTCCCCAAATGTAAAATGAGAATAAACATGTTCCTTACCTCGGAGACTTTCACGAGGCACAAACACATGTCTGGGAAAGGCTGAGCACAGTGGCCAGCACATGGAAATCGCGCGGCAGTTGTGAGCTGTTTTATTCCCATGGTGTTGGTAATGGGGATAATAAAAACACTCGCACAGAATGAACAGCAGCAAAACCTGCACAGGGTATCCCCTCCAGAGAACAGCGCTCACAAAATGTTTAGGAAATTCTCTGGAGCACAGGGGATAATAAGAAGAGAGGAACTCTTCTGCGATGGGAAGTTTTAGCAGCAGGCTCCCCGCAGCCGGGCCAGAGACGTCTTCGCAGTTGCATAACCATAAGTAAATAGGGCAGCTCTTTGCTGGCAAGCTTTCCGGAGACCAGAGGAGTTTCTTATCTGCTTATACCAACCAAGCAGTCAAGTGTAAAGACATGAACACGCCCATGCCTCTGCCTTCTGGATTGTCCAGTACAACCAGACTGAACATCTATTACTGTAATTTTACTAAATGACACTTTCTTGGATAAATCTGAGTGTTTTTTTTCTTTGCACTATTAGAAATTCTGGAAGGATATAGGATGTATTTTCCCCCTTTCCTTTAAATTACAAGCTCCCTAATGTCAAGAATCATGTTTGTCTCCCTCACTGCTGGAACTGTGGCCCAGATGCAGTCCAGACCCTGACTGATAGTATCTACTCCATAAAGAATTATGGAATAGCATTTTTGAATCTATTAACTGATATTCAATCATAACCTGAACTGCAGAACAATCTTAGTATATAAATTATATCAAAGAATCAATGCAGTAAAATATCCATGTGAAAGGGTATACTGTCCTAAGTTCTGTAATATATTAATATGGCTGTCATAATGGAACCTCTCCTGTTCACTGTCAGGTCTGCTAGCTTTGGATTCCCATGGCTGAGTGTTAGACACCTGAAGGTAATGGTTCTCCTTGGTGAGGAAATAGGCTACTTTTAAAAGCGTGGGGGCATTTTCATCTCGAGTCTTTGCTCAATGTGGGAAGTCTCCAAAAGTTTCTCAACTCACTATTAGGAGCCCTGTGAATATCAAATGCTTTGGAACACACATTCAGTTCTCTAACAGGTTCTCTGAGAATCAAGATGAATCTTGAAAACAGAGAAACAAATATTTTTAAATTTAAAAACAGGAATTAGGAGAGCACTTACCAGAACAGAAGTCGTCAGAGTATCTGTCATAGACAGCCCTGCAGTCCCTTTCGTCACACTCACAGGTGTCCCCGTGAATATCTCCCCAGTCTCCAGTCGGGTCAACATCGTGGCAGGAACATTCACCACACACACAAATCCCTAGATGGGAAAAATAATTTCACATGAGTCTAATGAAGAAAAATCATGAAGGGAAGGAGCATCTTAAATATTACTCTTTTTTCTGTTGCTTACTTTACATTTGGCAAATACACATAGTCAGGAAAAATGTCGTATTGAGGAAAACACCATCTAAAGTTGACACTAGAGATTCTTTAGTAAACACAAGTTATTATCTGTGTCTATACTTCCGTGTGATTGAAGGATGTGTCATTAGCACTGTGCTGGGTTCACCGAAAGATAATACCGAAGCAATTGGCATAAGATAAAATCTTTGCTCTCAAAAAGCTTACAAGTTACTTGAACAACAACAACAAAATAAAAGCCAATGAAAGAAAAATCAGCAAACAAAGTATGAATACTAAGGTTTTGTAAACTAGGACATATTGTAAGAGTTCAGGAAAGGCGGACTCAAGGTGGGCTGAAGTAATTAAGGTAGATGGTCTGGATCAGCAGAGAGAAGGGGAAATGTTCTAGGAGGTGTGGAGGTGGGACAACTCTAGAAAATCAAGAAAGTAAGAACAGGCAAAGGAGAGTGAGGATGGATGTGGATCCTGAGTAGTCCTGACTCATCAGAGCAGAAGGTGCATGGTCGGGAAGACTGAGAAGTCAGGTTTGCTGGAGCAGATGAGCTCAAGTTATAGAGGATGTTGGTGATTAGGCAGAGAGATATAATTTTGATTGGGTGGGGATTTGCATAGGAGAATTGCTCAGTTGCAAATCATATTAACTTTGTGCGAATTACCAGCAATCATCTTTAGGGCAACCAGCTGATAATTTGTGGGGAAAAAACAAAGTTAAATCCCTTTCTTACCTCTGCATCAAAATAAATTCAGCCAGATTAAAGATTTAAGGAGATAAAAATAAAACAATAAAATATAAAATAAATTTATTTTATTCAAAATCCTCAATGAAAATTATTTAAAGAAAAAAAAAGAAAAGACTTAACCATACAAAAATCTAAAATTGTGGTTGGGGGCAAGACATCAACTAAAAGATTTAAACAGCTGAAACAAGTAGTCACATGTATGTAAAAAGAGATATTTTCACAAACATATCAACAATCCTTATGAATTAATATCCAAAGGGCAAATACACCTACAACAGAATAGACAAAGGAAAGAACACCAATCGGAAATTTTGTAGAGAGAAGTACTGTTGAGTGGAAAACATGAAAATATTTACCACTCAACCTACCATTGTTAAAGGTGATAATAAACAATAGTGAGTTAGAATTTAACAATCATGAGTTAGAATTATTTTGGATGTCAGATTGACAGAAATAAAAAAAGACTGTTAGGATCAAGAGTGGGTGAGGATATGGAATACAAAATATACAACTTTCTGGGTGACAATTTCACAATATGTATTTTTTAAATGTGGGTTGTATATAATGTAACAGCTCACTTCGATTCACGTATCTAAAGGAAAGGAAACATACACAGAAGCACATGTACAGGAATATTAAATACAGTGTTACTCGTTATTGAAAACCACTAGTGACCTGAATGTTCATTAATGGGAAATTTGTGCAATAATGCACAGCTTAGAAGTAATCATTAGGTTTTTGTTCTGTGAACATGGAAAGATAGCCAAAATAATGATTAAATGAAAAAAACCAAATTACAAATTAGTATGACTAGTATGATTCAATTTTTGTATTAAATGAGAAGAAAATACACATCGGGGGGGCAGACAGGTGATCATTTTTTAAAAATAAATAAATAAAAATAGACTGAAAAGAAGAGGGGAGGCAGGGGGTGAGACCTCGGAAAGGCGGCAAGTAGGCTGTGTTTCTGAAGGAGATCCGCCTCTCACAGCCCATGTAACCCTGGGGGCTGCAGAACCAAGCTTCGTCCCCCAGCCCAGCTTCACTTTTTCCTCTCTCGTGTAAACACCTGAATGCTTATTTCCCACAGGAACAGCTCCCGCTGCACAGCCTGACAGCATCGTGGTGACCACTGGCCCTATTAAATAAAAAGGACTTAGCAGAAACATGTCCTTATCTACCAAAGGAAAATAAAAGTGAATTAGTGTGATGTAGAGTCAGATCTATTCTGCATAATTTAAAGAGAGGACTTCTCTTTATAATTTTTCCCCCAAGTTCAGGCCTTTTGCTTTGTTTTCTATATGTACAGAAAATCTGGCACATTTTAGTCTTCTATGGCAATTTTTTAAAAAGATAAAATTGGTTGAGTGTTAAGGCTTTCCATGTAAGCAATATCTATTAAAATGTACCATTCATTTATAGCAATAAAAAATATTTTCCAGCTTTCTAGATTTTTATAATTTTATAAAAGGAAATATGGCCATTTATTGATACCATCAAGTAGTCAGAAAATTCCAGCATGGCCTTTTTATCTACCAGCACAGCTGACAAAGGAAAAAAGAACAAGTATTTTCAAAGATTTTTTGAAAAGTGTTTCAAACTATTTGATTTGGTGTCAACACTTAGCTGACTCACTTTAAAGTATATGTTAGCAATGCTAATATATTTTTTGAAATTTATGCCTAGGGTCTGTCTCAATTTCACATGGCTATATCGTGTCCAATATCATATTTTTATCATTGCCTGTAAAAGTTAAATGACTCCATAGCAACTCTGTATTGCAACCAAGCCTTCACTTTACCCATAATTAAGACAAGAGAGTCTTCTGAATTCTCTCTGGATAATCAGATGCTCATGCTGTCAACGGTTCTGTTAGTCGAGACATTTAACAGAAGTATCTACAAGAATTGCCTTTTTGCTGCACTATGCCATTTCTGGATGGCTGCCAGAGAAATCACAGTCCCTGTGTTAACTATTGGTTCAGCGAAGCTGAAAGTATGACAGCAACTTTCTTATCCTTCTGCCCAATTAAAAAAAAATAAAATAAGAAAGAGAAGCTTGTTGGTATCGTAAATGTTGACTTACATCCAAGTCAAACACTGTGAAAGAGGACTTCCTCCCACACGGAAGGGAACACAGAGAAAAGGCAGGTTAACAAGAGCTTTGCTTCTCCCCAGTTAGGTAGTAACGAGGATGAAGGACACACCTCTGTTGCTGCAGACTTTGCCATCTGGAGATGTGCATCTTCGCTTGCTCTCCCAGGGGGTGATGTCGCACTGGAATTCGCATTTATCTCCATGCCAACCAGCCTGGCAGTAACAGTTTCCACAGTAACACTTTCCGTGGCCTTTACCCAAGATGAATTTTATACCATGAGGGGAAAAAAAAAAAAGGAACTTTCCAAAGCAGAATTAACTTTCTATCTCTTTGTGATCATTTTTGCCCTTTGAAAACATTTACCTGGTCCACGGTCCTTGCTTAACATCATCAAATTATACAGTTTGTCCCCAGAACATCACAGGTGTGCCTATACCTACATAATTACATAATTAATTATGTAAAGCCACATAAAGCCAGCCAAGGTATCCTCTAACTTGCACTAGCCAGGGAGCTGATAAAAATGACAGAATTTTAAAGAAATGGCATGAAAGACTGTGAGTCTATTATGTTCCAATCTCAAACATGAGCATCAAACTCAAATGTACAGGAGCATTTACTCTAAGGGCATTTCTTGAAGTATTTCACTTGAAATCAACCATTGAGACGCCAATGGTGTCTATTTTCTTGGATGCATGTTATTAATGACTGAACCATTTCTTAAACCAGAGGAAATATTTACCTTTTCAGTCAACTGGATCCCCACAAGTTGTTGTGTTTCACAAAGTGGAAGAGATTCTCAGCTAAATCAATGTTTAGTAGTCATTTAAACTAATAAAATACCAGATTGAGGATTACGCTGGGAGAAAGCAAGATGACTGTGTACTAAAAAGCTTTTCCTAGGAGTCAGTGTTTTGTTCTGTTTTTTAAGACTAAATTAATTTCTTAGACTAGAATTTCCTCTATAATCTCAGAAATCTTCAGAAACTTACCTACTCTGTCATGGCAGGAAATTTATTTAAGATGCTACCTATGTACGTCTTACCATGATATTAACAAATGATCATAAATCTACATTCCCCACATTCAAATTCTTTGTATATTTATAAAATTTAGTATGGAACTAGGGTTTTACTAAAATATCATTTTGCTGGAGGTGAATAAAAATTATTACGCTAAATCGAGGAAAGCTATACCCATACACTGATGTGGAAAATTAAGCAGATATCTTCATAACTCAGATGAAATTACTCTAGTAAGACACATCTGGATAACGGAGATAAAAATATAACCTCAGGACATAAACACTCCAGACAGTGAACATTGTTCTCTGCTTTGTGGCAACTGATGGAGTAAGAAAATCTCCTTTTGAATTGCTTCACTGTTGGGCTGTAGAAGCACCTCTCAACAGACTGGTTTCATGTGCATGATACACGGAAAAGTCTAGAATCCCGGTCAATGTCACCCCCAGAGGATGTTTACTGGAGTAGGTGTCTGTGGTCTGAGACTTTGCACCATGAAATTGCTTTAGCCTCAAACAAATGGAAATAATAAGTGGAAACGTTGAGAGTTAAACATTTCTTTCAGTTAAATGTTGATATTTACACATGCAAATAGACTTTGCTTTGGTGGTGTGCACTAGAACACACTGGCTCCACGCGTGCTCCCTTCCTCTTTTTTGATCTGTGATCACTAGAAATAAAATGTCAGGAGGACAAATGAATAATATTTGTGGGTGGATTTATCTGATTGTTCTAATTGTTTTGGAACAAGCCCCTTAGCGGAGCTGTCTACACAGCGTCTAGCTTAGGTCACTGGCTTGAAAAATGAAGGTTTTTGTGTTTGTTTTATCCTGGTTGGTTGGACAGCAAGGAAATCAGAGAGAAAGAACCAAGCAGCCCTAAAATAAGAGTATGTGGAAGACCATGGGAATTGAAGCCCGTAATCTGTGTTTGTAAACAAGAGGAGTTTGTTGTAGTTAGTGACACATTGTGGCCCTCTGGTTCCTCCTGGCCCCATTTGCTCCTGATCCTTCCAGGGAAAATACTCTCCTGAAATCACCCATCTGGCATGAAGAACAGGATCCCATGGATGGGATCTTTTCAGAGATAAATGAAAGGAGTAATTGCTTATGAATAGAGAGGCAAGGCCAGAGGCAACCAGGCTAAAATGTTTAATAGCAGCCGAGAAGAATTTATCTAAACTGAAGGGGTTCTCACTGCTCTTGACCTCCCTCTGCTGTGGCAATGGAGAGATTGAAAGAAAAGAGGCAAAATACAAGCATCTAAGGTGAGCAGGGAAGATGGAGTCCAACCAGGACCACTTTCGAACCATGAAGCTGGCCTGGCGCCACAGGGACCCAGCTCTCTGTAAGGAACAATCTGATTTCGCATTTCAGAAATTCGAGTCAGCTCTGAACACCCTAGTCTAGGTTTCCTTGTAAGATGTGTTTTCCAAGTAAACATAGGTACCACTTAAAAGAGTAAACTTTGTGCAGAAATTGAAATTTATGAGATAAAAGTCAATGAAACAGATGAAAACATCAAGTACTTTCATTAATTTCTGCCAAGTTAATAGTCTTACCTCCACATATTTCTTCCGTTTCATCGTCTATGCATTCTCTATCATCACACTCACAAAATTTACCATAAACGAGTCCATTTCCATCTGAATTGTCACACTTACACCTGCCACAGTGACATGTACCTAAAGCATTTAAACAAAGCAAAAGTTACTTGTTAAATGTATATAAATTACAATGAATGAATTTCTAACCTATCTCTTTCATGGATACAGACAATTCACATTGATTTAATATTCAAATTAGGTATTACTATGGGTATGATGAGGCAGATAATGACACTCTTTCTTGAGATGATGATCGGCCAGCAGTTAATATTTTACAGCATAGGGCTATTATGACTGACCTCTCATAGTTTCATGAATGCAAATCTGACCTCCCCAAGAGCAGAGCTGCTTTCTACATGCCCATCCAACCAACGCATGAAGGCATATCTTCTGATTACACCTGGGTCTGAAGTGAACTAAAGCAGAAAATTCTAAGCTTTGTGAAAGAAGTAACCTTGCTTATCTTCCTCACCAGTATTTATTCAATGCTTTGCACAATATTTGAGCATATTATTTATATAATAAATATTTGTGGAAGTCATTATCAAATGCATAAATGAAAAACTTAGATGCTCCTAATAATTTTATATCCACAGTGTTAAACTGATACACACGTCCTTGTGACAGTGGGACCACAGTGGGTTTTCTTAGGCATAGAGTCTTAGGAAGTCACCAAAACCTCGGGGCAGATCAGAGTGACACAGAAGCACACCACAGTCATCTGGTCTGCCACACACCACATAACTCAGACAAATTTGAGGATTTGACTACAACCCCTGAGAGTCATTTCAGTGACATTAAAACAGCATTCAAAGGATATTGAGAAGTAGAATGTCCATTTGAGGAACTTCCTTTTTAATACTTATTTTTAAAATTTTAGTTGATCATCACAGCTGTCACCACATATTAATTGAGACTCTGCCATCCACCAGATATCATCCTAGACTCTGGAAATGCAACAGGAAATCAATTCAGGCATAATCCTCCTCTTACAGTTTTATATGAGAAAATTCCAGGGTGATAAAATAAGTGGAGATGTGGAAAGTGTAGCAGGAACACATAGTAAGGGGATTTAACTGAGACCCAGTGGCCAAAGATGGAGCCCCTGGGGAAGAGCTCTTAAGTTGAGACTGAAAGCCAAGCAAAAATAGGAGCTAAGAGAAGTGAGACAGCGAGGAGGCCCACTTCCAGCAGGAGAAAACAGCAAAGGCCCTGCAGTAAAAGGGAAATTAGAGCAGGAAAACAGACAGCTGGATACAGAAAATCATGAGGAAAGTGTCAGGAAAGGAATAAGGCACCTACAGATGCAGTTTGCGGAAATCTCCTAGGTCATGTTAAAGATTCCCAACTTTAACCCAAGAATAATGAGAAACCATGGAAATATTTTCAGCAAGGGAACCATGTGATCAGGTGTTTCTGGTTTTCATATGGAGAATGAACTGAAATGAGGCACAAGAGGACAGGAGGGAATGTCAGCTCATTAGTCTGCTGGAAAGAAGATAGAGGCTGACAAGGGTGATGGCCATGAGTTTAGAAAAAAGCAAAGGGGATATTTTCAGGAGAAAGAAAAGGACTCGGTGACTGATTATGAGGGGTAAAGAACGAGGTGAAACCAAAGATAATATTGATATTTGAAATGAGCCACTGGCTATTGGCAATTCTGTATGTGGATTCCAGGAAGTGCATGCATTTAGGATTAAGGTAGACTTGTAGCCAAATTCAGGTCTTAATCCCCACGGGATAAACATTTTTGAGGTCATGACATTTCTCTCCAACTCTCAAAGTCCTTACTTGCAAATAGTGTCTACTTCATAGAGTGGCTGTGAGGATCAAATGATAAATACATCACCCAGTCATCTTTTACCAACACTACCGTGTCTAGCGCATAGTAGGCTTTCAGAAAGTGTTGGGTTGCCTTCTCCCCTTAAGACATCGAGTATATTAGTCATATTCCCAAATATTTCCTCTGGATTCACTTTATATTTATGGAGCCCACCATTTCCTGTTTTCATACCCTCTGCACGATTCGGTTACCCAGGTCACTTGTGATTTGCTATCATCAGTAAGAGTTTTTTTCTCTCTCAGTCACGTATAGATAGTGATTCTGCAGAATTGGAGCTTGTTATTTTTCTTCCTTGAGAATACTTGTGTCAATTTTGCTTTTATTAAACTTCGTTTTCTTGCTGTTTTTTTTTCCTGAAAACTATTTCAATGTATAAAAATTCATTTAAAATCTAACGCTACAATTCGTGATATTGTCTCATCTCATTTTTTCTCTAATTATCACCCTTCTTGTTCATTTTCACATTTATTCATGGTGTCTTTCAACCATCCACGTATCTGTTCATTCAATTTCCTCGTTGCTTATTATTTTACTGGCAAAGTCCTAGGTGCTATAGGAGATAATAAGTTGAATAAAATTAAAACTAAGTCTAGACCAGGAAGAAAGAGCTAAATGATGC